AACCATCAGCATATGAGGGTTCCGATTTCTCTATGTCCTTGTCAACACTTGTTATTATCTGTCTTTCTTATTATAACCATGCTAGTTTGTGGCAAGAAGCATTTCACTGTGGCTTTGAATTGCATTTCCCTGCTGGCTGATGATGTTAAGCATCTCTTCTGGTATTTATTGGCCACTTACATATCTTCTTTGGAGAAATGCATATTCAGATCCTTTGCCTTTTTAAAACATTGAGTTCTCTTTTTAACAATGTGTTGTAAGAGTTCTTTATTCTAGATAGTAGTCCCTTATCAGATATATGATTTGGCAGTAATGAACAAAGACACTACCAACATTCATGTGCTTATGTCTCCATTTGATTAATGAGATTATTTATGTCATTCTGTTTTTTCTTGATCAGTCCTGCTTAACTTTTATCTATTTTGTTACTCTTTTTAAAGAACTAACTTTAAGCTTTACTAATCATTCTTCTTGTATTTTTATTTTCTATTTCATTGATCTATGATCTATGCTATGTTTATTATTGTGGGGTTTACTCTTATTTTTCTGCCTTCTTAAATTAGAAACATTAAGCCTTTCTTCTTTTCTAATGTAAATATCTAAGACTGTAAGAATATTATTTAAGCCTTGCTTTTCCTGCATGCCACAAGTTTCAATATATAAATGGTTTTCTTACTATTTGGTTCTAATATTCTTGTTGAAATTTGTCATGATAAACTTGTAGTGTACCTATCTGCCTACTTGTATGATTTTCCCCAGTAGCTTGAGTGTGGGTACAGAAAAAGTTGAAAGTTAAGGACAATCCTTAACTTGGATTTGGTTTGGAGTTTTGCCAGCAAAATACACCTCAACTACTGTATCTAGTGTCATACCTCACCTCCACATCTCATTTTCTCCCTGGAGCTCATTAAGTAGTCTTTCTTTAATTCAAAACTTCGTCTTTCATTACACTTCATTTCATTACTGCATCTATCACACGCATGCATCACTAAATGTCATTGCCTAAACTGACTCATAATACTGTGAGCCATAAGACTCTCAGCTATTGTGATAAGAGTCTTTGCAAGGATAAAGGATGGAATTTAAACCAGGTGGGAAGGAAAGTCAAGAGAGACAGGGACTATTAAATAGGTAAATAGCAGTGGGCTCAATGAATTGGAAGTCCCAATGATGTAAAATGAACTGATGATAAGGCATCATTGAGTAACTAAGATGGAAATGTAGAAGGTTGTTGTTTGAGAATGGATTACCTGAATTTAATATCTTAGAACACTTTTAACTGAATTTTCATGATCTGTTGATTTTATGCTCACAGAGTAGATGTGTGAAGGAGAATGGAAGGGAAGGACCAAAGAGGAAGCTCCTGAGTGTTGGCTGAGTAGTGTCCCATAAGAAGTGAAGTTTCCTAGGCTGATGATCAGAGTTAGGGGGTGAGAATTCTGTAAGACAGTTGCCATAGATTTAGTGAATAAGAAAAGGTGACAAGAAATTCATAGTTCATAGCAATGAGAGAGGACAAACTGTAGTCCAGTTAAATGGCCTAAGCCTAACAGAAGCAGGATTCCTTAATGGGGTTGGAGAAGGAGTGGACTGGAAGGGCAGTAAGACTCAAAGAGAACCTCACCTTGCCTTTGGACTCTGAGAGGCATGATAATCAAGAGAATAAAAAGTGACTACTTACAAGAGCTGTAGGGGAGAGCCAGGTTTCAGTTAGGGCCAGGGGGTGTCTAAAACCTTTGGTAAAAAGATACTTTTCTCAAAATATTCCATATGTCTTCAGTGCATCTCACCTACCCTATACCTCATTAAATACTGCCCATCCTGTGACATTTCCTCCCTACTTCTTCCTATGTAGCCTTTATTTCATTAGACTCCCCATCTCTTGTTATCAGTCTGCATTTTATTATCCTACCCAAGGCATATTGCATCTCATTCACTAAATGGGGATGGGAATCCCAAAGCCAAGCCTGATCCAAGAGAGGTATTGTGGGCCGAAGCCAGGAAACTTATGCTACAGGCTTGAACAGTTGGTTGGTTTGGATAGTATAAAGAGGTTGTCAAATTGTAGCAAAGTATATTTTAGGATTTTTAGATGATTTTGTGTATAAGAAAATAGCATTTACTATAACAAAGCCTGAGGTTCTAAGAACCCTATATTTCATGGCAAATTGTGTAAGTTCTGTAAGTTCATTTGTTCATTCATAAAAAATATTTATTGCACATCCACTGTGGGATATACACTAAATGCCAAGTTTAATGGCCTGGGCCCTTTTCTCAAAGACTTCACAGTTTAGTGAGGCAGGTAAATATATGAACACATTCTCTGAATTAAAATGGTAACTGCTCTAATAAAAATAAAGTACTATCTGTGTGTAATAATGAAAACCACTGTTTTTTAAAACCTGAATTGGATACAAGAACATTGGAAGACTGACATATAAGCTGAACATATGCTTACCTATAATCTTTACCTGTAATCCAAACCCACTCCCACGTAGATACCCAGCAGAAATGTGGCCATATGTTCACCAAAATATATATACATGGGTGTCTCTGAGGCTCAGACACCTTAACTAAGTTGCTGCTGGCCATACATCTGTCAAGTGGGAGGGAGGGGCAGGTCTGTCTGACTCCAAAACCAAGGCACCTAACCACTTCATAAAGATGGAGTCTCTAGAGGGGCCTGACAGATAGCAGTCTCATCTCCTGGCTAGAGACCAAAGGCAGAGCATGCTTGGTCCTCACTCTTCAGCTTATGCCTCAAACCCAAGCACACTACTTTTTATACCTCTGGGAGGTGGAGGAAATGGGTGCAGGAGAGCCATGTCAGCACCTACACTCTCTCCCTCCTTTCATCAGCTCTTCCTCTCTGTCTCCAACCTTTTCCCCTGCTTTAGTATAACAACCTTCTTATATCTCTGCTTTCCTTATAAAACAGGGATAATAATGTTATCTTTTATTATGGATATAATGGTAATTCCACAAATTCTTTTTAAAAACACTTTGAGAATAAATTAGTTACTACTATTGAGTTGTTCATTTTGTCATTTTTTCACTTGCATTTAGGGGTATATCAGTACAGCTAAATTTCAGAAAGTCAGCCCTAGACTATTAAAGTGAAGTGGCAAATTACTGCCTAGCTTAGTTCTTAATAAACACACCATCTCTTCTAGTCTCAATAGCCAGCCTCAGAAGTGGGCAAATTAGGCAGCTACCTACTTAAAGGTTTGAAAGATGATAAAAGATCTCTACCTAAAAATGCCTCCCCACCTGTAATTCTAATTCTACACACACCAAGAGCCTCCTTGAAAAGCTATATGCTTTCCAACTAAGTATGAGGTTACCTGAGAGAGATTATTTGTTAGCTAATTAATTCATCTGTCATAGAAGCCACCTGCTTCCAGTATCACCTGGAAGAGAAGAGGGGCCTGAAAGAATGACACTCAGGATGATATGATTTGATGGGTTAAGGGAGCAGGTAGAAGAGTTGAAAGTGGAGTTAGAAATTAAGGGAAGGAAAGATCCAGAACTTGGAGCATTACTAATGAAGTCAAAACCTTTAGACAGCCTAAAGACTTAAAGGGATATGCACCTCTAAGAGAGAAGATTTTTAAAAGAGGGGAATTAGTGTTTAATGGGTACAGAGTTTCAATTGAGTAAATTAAAAAACTGGAGATGGATGGCAATGGTAGTTGCATAAGAATGTGAATGTACTTAATGCCACAAAACTGTAGACTAAAAATGACTAAAATGGTAAGCTTTATGATATGTATACTACAAATACATTCTAGACAATTTGTGAGGGAAATGAAGGCAGTCAAGGCTATTTTCACGAATCCCTTGCCTTAGGTGGTATGGTAGTCAGCCTTCAAGGTGGCTCCAATGATCCTCACCTCCTATTACTCACTCCCCTGTGTTGACCCCTTCCGCACTGGATAGAGCTGACCTGGGTAACCAACTGGACACAGCATAGATGACCGGAAGTGATCTTCCAAGGCTAAGTCATAAGAGATACTGCAACTTCTAACTGATTTTGTCTTGAATCTCTTGCTCTGCAGGAAGTGAGCTGCCATGTTGTAAGAACATGCAAGCAGTCTATGGAGAGGTCCAGGGAGGAGAAACTGAGACCTCCAGTCAACAGCCGTCATTAACCTGTCAACCAAGTGAGAAACCACCTTGGAAGCAGGTCCCAAGTAGCCCCAGTCAACATCAAAACTGCAACCTCATGGCAGAGCCTAAGCTAAGCCACTCCCAAATTCCTGACCCACAGAAACTTGAGATAATGTTTGTAGATGTTTTAAGCCACTAAGTTTTGGGGTAATCTGTTACACAGACATTGATAACTAATACAGAGAGCAGGAGAATCCTTTATCAACTGCCTGAGACTAGTGGTATCTTCAGTCATTTATGTGTCTCTGCTCCTGGATTATATCACAGCTACTTGAAGATATTCTGAGACCCCATTTAGGTAAAGTTGCACTTACCTCTACATTTTATGAATATCCAACAGGTGACTTAAAAATATTTCCCAAGATTGGAGAGGCATTGCTGAATTTCAGATAGTAAAGACTAGGAAGAGCAATTCCTAACATAATACACCTGTCAGATAACGTGAACATTTTTCCTTTAAACACTGTAGGTGAAATGCTTGAAAACCTGAAGGCAGGCCAGTGTTTTAAATCATTTTCCTCCTTAAGATGTGTGAAAACTCTTTCAATATACTTGTATTAAAAAAGAGGAGACAAATAAATAAATCAAGGTGCTAAATAACTAAATAAGTAAGTAATTAAATACAGCAAGCTAACTGAAGAACTTAGTGAGGGCTAACTTCTTTCCTCTTGTCTCTGTGTGTGTACCCACCTAGAATTCTGATCTCTGCATCTGTGAGTCTCCAGTTTTTCAGCCCAAGCTTGACGAGCTGAGAGGCTCCCTCCAGTTGCTCCAATAGCCTGGTCAGGCTGATTCGTACATCACACCACCACGGCAGCATCAGAACAGTTAGCTCTTCCAAGATGGGCAGCCTGTCAACTTGAAGAACCAGAGGGCAGTTCAACAATTGGATCCACCTCAAAACTGATGAAGGATGAAGAGATGTAGGAGAAGGAATGATCTTTATCTCTGCAGCCTACTCAATGTTCAGTAAGAATTTACTTGGTTTTTTGTTGATATTTTTATGGAAAGTTTCAAGAATATACAAATATACAGAACAGTATAGTGAAACTGTATATACAAATAAGCCAACTTTCCACAAACATCAAATCATGGAAAATCTTGCTTCATCCTCATTGAATTCATTTCCTTCTATACTATTTTCAAGCAAATCACAGGAAGTAAATATCAGGTTTTTAAATTCTCACTTAATCACAGTATCATTATCACACCTTAAAAATCTTATCATTAACTCCATAAGCAAATTTGTCTTCAATATCACTTACTCTCAGACATTAGCTCCCTCGGAGATGGCAAGGAGATGGCAAGGAGATGGGAGCCTCAGGTACAGTAAGTACGTGAAAACTGGTAACTCAGAAGCCATGGGCCAGTGTGCCTTAAGGGCAGTTTAAGAAGGAGCTAAATGACTTACATGAGGTTCACCTAGTAAAAGAAACCTCAGGGATCAGGGTACACTTTTCTGACTATTTGAGTATTTGATTTTGGCTAAATTGTCAATCTTACTCAGTTCATGAAGAGCTTCATTTCCATCCTTTTCCAGGTGATTTTCAGATAAATCAAGAATGCTCAGTTTGGCCAAGTTGTGAAGATTCTGAGCTGGGGGAAAAAATTAATCCAAAACAAAAAGACTTTTCAGGAAACTGTATATGCATTTAAAATATCATTAGAAGAATTCTGAGTCCTTGCCTTCTTTCTTGATAGTATACAAACCATTATTTGACTTGATTGATTTAATTATGCCAAAAGGTGTCTGGGTAGGTTTAACCCCCAGTTGCCATGAGGATGAAAGATGAACAGCTATTTCCTGTTCTTTAGTTCTGACTAATAACCTTCAATTCACAAAAAACCTAAAGTAGCCTGGAATACAGTTGTTATGTCACTTTAGGAAAGTCACTCTGTTTCTTTAAGCCTCATCTTTAGAATGTGGAAGTGGAACTAAATAAACTGTAAGGTTTCTTCCAATTCTAAAATGCCCTTATCATGTGGGAGAAACAAAGGAACCAAAACACAGGTAAGATAAGCTCTTCTCTGTGTACTTCGGTTTAGATGATTCTGTTAATGCCATGGTTGTGATGCTAATAATAAAAACTTAGAAAGTAAAAAAAAAAAAAAAAGATGAGAAAAATAGAAAACAAATAGCAAAATTGCAGATGGAAACCTAATCATATCAATAATTACATTAATGTAAATAGATCAAACACTCGAATTAAAAGACAGATTAATAGTATTAGATTTTTAAAAGCAAGATCCAACTCCATGCTATCTTCAAGAGATGTATTTTAATGACAAAGACACAAATATTTTGAGGTAAAAAATTTGGAAAACTATTTTACATGCAAATATTAATTATAAAATGCTACCACTGTGGCTAAGAACTGCTTAATTCTTTTCTTCATTACAGATATTCATCATGGTTGTTTAATCTATTTGAAGTTTTTCCTATCAAGACTGACTAGAAAAAAAGCTTCCTTAAAAATAATTTTTTAATGAGTACATACTCTTGTTATAGTATTAGCTATTGTTATTTTTAATCAATCATATGAATCCTTTTCTTAGAGTAAAGGGTTCTGGGGTTTTCTTAGAATAAAACTCCCGGGGTTTGGTGCTTTAAAAAACCCCACAGAACTCGTCTTAAAAAGGGTACAATTGATATTTTCAGTTCTAAACCTATCTCTCTTCAGGACAATTAGAGAAGTAAAGTAGTATGCTCATCATTCTCATGCCCCCAGTGTTTGTCTGGCCTTTTCCAATCATGGGTTTCTCTAGCTTTTGGTTTATGTTAACATACAAATGATTTCCTTAGTAAACCTTACAGACTCCTAGCTATGTTGTATTCTGTTTTAAAAGGGCTAGATTATCTTTTTTTCCCAAAATCTAAATTTAAAAAATATGTGAATTGAACATGTCCAGTTTATCCAGAAATATGCAAAGGTTTCTCCATATTTGGTATATGTACCCTTTAGGAACTCAAAAGACTCAACTCTTATATTAATGTACCAACTCCACCTTAACAGGGCAATAGGTGAGAACTGGAAGGCCTGAGAACATTTAAGGGAACTTTCTCTCTCTGCTTCTCAATCATTTATTTATCCATTTGTTCAAATTTTCATAAAGCAGTTATTATGTAACAGGACACGTGTCAAGTTTCACACACCAATTTCTTATTTTCTTCCTCTTTACCTTCTCTTAAAATTATAACATCTTCACTTATCCTGAGATTGTTTCCTGTCAGTCATCTATAAGAAATTTTCATTCCAATCATACAGAAGATTATTAAAAACAGGCTAGATATTACATAGAAGTCTTTATTATCTTTTCCAGTTTCTCTAAAAATTAAATCTCCATTTGAGAGACTTAGCAGGGCCTTAGTATAAAAGTATCATATATTCTCTCACACTGTTTTCATTCAGTAAATGCATGCAGCAGTTACCTAGAATTTTCACGGCATTTCCCAACAGGCAGCAGGAGACTAATTGGATTTCTTTAAGGTCACGGGGTTCAGCTGACAGAGACTTGACTATGTAATCCATTCCTTCCCCAATATCAGACAAATGGGTCAAACGAAGTAAACACATCTTCTTCATGTTTGTCAGGCCTTCAGCTGCAAATAGATGGAAAGGAAATGCATTAGGACACCAAGTTAATTTGATATAACTGCAGATTAATGGACTGAAAAGAAGATAAAAAACAATTGCACAGAGACCTTGCCATGCTCTTTTTGTAGAGAACTTGAGCTATGAAAATCCAAGGAGAGTTGTTTTTCTTTCAATGATCACTTTCCAGTCTCCTGGACCATACAAATTTCACTTAGCAGGTCATTCTCTTAATAACATGAAAAAAAAACTATAGTATATGTGTAGAATTTTAATGGGTATCAACATATATCTTTACCATACTTTTTTCATAGAACGAAGTTTTCTGAATGAGCACACTCCCTTTAATCCCCTCAATAATCTTAGGAGGAATGGAAGCTGAATTCAGAGGGGCAGCTCGGAAACTTCCATTCCTTAGTGTGCTTCTAGTGTAGAACCCTGCTTGTGACTGTGGGATACGTGGCCTGCCTGATGCTTTACAATGAAAACAACATCCAATGCAGCATGTTTAATGAGGTGGAATTTATGTCAAAAATACAGTTGAAAACATTCTGAAATGTTCCTTGTTCTTAGGTCTAAAGCTGATGTGGAGTTTAAGATTGACTGGGCATATCTTTGTGTAATTAAAATATTTCCTTATCTTGATGGTACTCTTACCTATAGAAAAAAATATATTGTTTTAATAATATCTACCTTGAAGAACTGTGGGAAGGTTGCAGATAATGTATGTGATGTACTTAGTGTGGTGCCTGGCACAGAGTAGGTACATGTTAATTGTTGTCATGAGAGTACACATAGCTTAGAGATTGTGAACATGAATTTTGCAGTCAGTTTGATTCCTGGATCCCATACTTAATAATTGTGCAAATGTGGGCAAGTTATTCAGTCTTTTAGCTGTGGCTTTAGGGATGATTATACCTACATGTTAGGACTATTGTGAGGATTCAAGAAGAGGAAGTATGTAAAAGTACCTAGTTCAGTGTCTATTGTGCAATAACTCTTTAATAAATAGTAATTTAGACTGGTTTATTCAGTCCCAGGCTTTGATTCCTTAATGGTAGCACCAGATTGTCTCAGATAGGTATTTTTGAACCCTTTGTAATAATTGGTGAGACCCTGGGCAAGTCAATAAACTGTTCTAAGTTCCACTGGCAGTAAAATAAGAGTTGAACTAGATGCTCTCAGGCCCCTTCCAGCTCTGCTATTCTGGGTAACTTGTAGGCATCCAATAAATGTTTATTGAAGATTGAATCAATTTGGATATTCACATGCAGGCTATATAATGAAAAAATGCCAGTCATGTTTAAATTGTAGGATAGGGTTGTCTTTAGGCAGGAACCAAAATGAAAAAGAATGTATAAGAAAGCATTTAACTGAGGGCAAACAGGAAGGAGAAAAGAGCAAAAAAATTTTTAAAAAGTAGGGACATTGGGGGAAAACAGCTTCAGTGGGAATCCCCCCTGTCCTCGAGGGCCTGGCTCCCTTTGATAAATCACATTTTGCTTGTATTCCTGAAACTTTCGTGGTCCACGTTCATTCCTGTGTCTCATTCAACTTATGAAGTTTTATTGAATTATGAAATACAGCATAAACTTTTTTATCCTGCTTCTATGTTTTAAATATAAACATAGTCAATCAGCTGGGGAGATAAAAACATATCATGGCTTCTGTCCCCAAAAGGGTTACAATCTGGTGGTGTACAATTTACATAAAAGGGTGCTGAGAGATTGGAATGGGAGTGGAGAAAATGTCAAGGAACACCAACGTAGTCACAAGGACATAAGGGTATACTTGCCTTGTATAGAAACAGCCAGCGTCAAAGAGTCTTAACTGTTCTTAATATCAAACTTATATTAATAGAAATATTAGAGAAACAAAACTCTGACCTAGTTTTATAGCATCTTCCTCATTCATCTTAACATTATCCAGCATGAGCTTCGTAAGGTTCTTCAAATACCCAAGCTGTCAGTCAGACCACCTGCCAGAAGAAAAGAGATTGGACTGTGTTCAGCTATCATTCACTAGATTTCTATTACCAATCAAAAAATTTTAGTTGTCATTATGGGCAAGAAATGCTCATGAAATTCACACAAAACTGTATTTTTTGTCAGAGATGGGCATCTTCCTTAGCTAAAAGCATGTGTTCCAAATATAATGGAATTACACTGGAAAACAATAACAGAAAGATAATTGGGAAATCTCCAAATGCTTGGAAAGTAAACAACATACTTCTAAACAAGCATGGATCAAATGGGAAGTCTTAAGAAAAATTAGACAATATTTTGAAAAATACAGAAATAAAAATAAACCACATCAAAATCTCCAGTTAAAACAGTGCTTAAAGGGAGGTGTAGAGCATTAAATGCTTATGTTAGAAATAAGGAAAGGTTTCAAATTGATAACCTAAGCTTACTACTTAAGAAACTAGAGAGAAGAGCAAAATAAACCTAATGCAAGAAGAAGCAATACAATAATAAAGATAAAGGCAGAAATCAATTAAAAATTGCTAACATAAACAATAGGGAAAAATCAATGAAAATTAAAAGCTTTATATTTGAAAAGATCAATGCAATTGATAAATTTCTAGTAGGACTGACAAAGAAAAAAGTGAGGAATAACAAATTACCAATATCAAAAATGAAAGAGGATATTATCACAGAAATTGCAGATGTTAAAAGGATAGAGAATAATATGAACAAATCTACACACATAAATTTGACAACATAGATAAAATTGCACAATTTCTTGAGAGCCAGAAGCTATTAAAACTCATCCAATATTATATAAGTAACCTGAATAGTCCTATATAACTATTAAAGAAATTGAATTGGCGAGGGATAGACAAGGGTATTGACAAATGTTAGATCAATGGAAGTAGATCACACACTTAGCATATGTGAGGTTCTGGTTTCAATCCCCAGTACTTCTGATACAAAGGCTATTCAAACATGAAAGAATAGTCATTTCAATAAATAAAACAACTGGATATTCATAAGGAAGAAAAATGAACCTTTTCTAAACTTCACACCTCACACAAATGTTAACTCAAAATGGATCCTAGAACTAAATGTAAAACATAAAACTTTAAAAGGAAATACAGGAAAAAATCTTCATGACCTGGGGTTATGAAAAGAGTTCTTAGATATGACACTGAAACCATGATTCATAAAGAAAAAAAAAGGAAAAAGAAATAAAAGGGAAAAAAAAGGACTTCAACAAAATTTAAAACTTTTGTTCTGTGAAAGAAACTGTTAAAAGAATGAAAAGATTAGCTACAGATTGGGAGAAAATATTTTCAAATTAGTTATCTGGTAAAGGACTTATATCCAGAATATATGAAGAACACTTAAAACTGAACATTAAGAAAACAAATTGACCCAATTAAAAATGGATAAAAATTTGAACAGACATTTCACCACAATGGCAAATGCACATGAAAAATTTTCAACTTTTATCAGCCAACTCTGATGAGATAACACTAGACACAGAGTTCCAGTTGCTCCACATCCTCATCAGCATTCAGTGTTGTCTGATTTTTATTTTTTCTTAGTGTAAAATGACAAAAGTAGAAAAACAAAGAATACTAAGTGCTAGTGAGAATGCAGAGCAACTAAAATTCTCATATATTGCTACTGAAAATGTAAATTGTCAAAGTGAAATATAGTTCAGAAGTTTCTTAAAAAGTTAAACAAGCGCTTGTAATATGGCCCAGCAATCCATCTCCTAGGTATTTATCCAAATGAATTGAAAACTTATTTTCACACAAAAACTTGCACAAGAATGCTTATAGTAGCTCTATTTATAATTGCCCAAACTAGAAATAACCTACATGTGTTTCAATGGTGACTATATAAACACACTGTGGTATATCCATACAATGGCTATTCAGCAATAGAATGAGATGACCTAGGAGGATGCTGAAGAGACTTGGAGGGCAAAAATAGAAACCAACCTTAGGTATAAATGACAGGGAACTGGATTCTAGCTATAAAAAAAGTAAGTGCTGATTACAAACTGAAATGTCAAAGAGGGCCAGGGAAATGATGTTATTACAAGAAGTAGAATGGGTGGGCTCTATGCCCAACTGGAGATTATGTGTCTTGCCCAAAGAGCATAGGAGCAGATCATGAAGCTCTAGTCAGTTGTTACCAAGGGAGGATGTGGGCCTGCAGTTGCCAACCCATAATTTTCAAGAGAAACCTGTATTTTCACATGACATCTCCCAATTTCAAAATGGTGGCAACGCCTTCAGGGAGAAGAGTTTTGGTTAGGGGGGAAGGAAAGGAAGGAGACTTTTCACGTAGTTGTTTTATAATTTGAACTATGTGACTCTATTACTCAAAAAGTAAATTAAAATATTGGCAAATATTAAAAAGAAAAAATTTAATTGTACGGAGGCCAAATTCAGCACATAAGTGACTGGTTTGCAAGATCAGAACAAAGGAATAGCCATCAAGAGGAGATGGTTACCTTCCTGACAGAAAGTAGTCTAATGTCGTCTGGGTGACTATCCAGAATCTTATAGCAGGGACTCCTGCGCTGAGTAGGAGGTTGCAAAGATTATCTGTGCAAAAGATTCTAGGCTCCTAAAATGATAGAAAATGTCCTCTACAGGGTGACAAGGGAGGCAGAGCCGAATGGGAAATTATTTGTGGGTGAAAATGAATCCCAGATTACAGTCAAGTAGAGGAAGGCTCCAGCCAGCCCGTAGCTTCACAGCACTCAGCAGCCCCTGCTCTGGGCTGCAGGGCTGATCTACACAGGTAAGGCAGGTCTACACAGGTAAGACAGCCACTCACCTTCAGTGTCATTTTGAATTTGGGGAAACTCCCCTTTACCCAGAAAGATTGACCCAGCATGTATGTGTCTGAAATTTCTTCATGTCAGACAAAACCTTTTCCCAAAATCTTCTTTCAAAATGAATGATACCCAGGGTTGGGGTGAGGCTGGGTATGTGCTGCAACTTCCTAGATGAGAATCCAGTGATGCAATTAGCCACCAGCTTCTGTAGGTGATTAGTTTACAGGCTGGATTTCCTCCCAGGCTTGAAGGAAGGAGGGGTGCTACTTGGCAGGGAAGCAATGAGTGTTAAGTAGAGATGGAGTTACTGACAAGAGGAAGGGTTCACAGAAGACAAGCTTAACCAACTGTACACACATCCACACACAGACAAACACACTCTTTACCATACACGCCATATAGCTATTCAAACAGACCACAGAGCTTCAGCCCTTGGGAATCCTCCCTAGGGCTTCCCAATCTGACAGCCTTGCCCCGACAATCGAACCCTCTCCCCAACCCTCCCACCTCCCTTCCAAGTCCTGACACCTGGTAGAAACCATCAGAAAATTTAAAGCAAAACAAATGATAACTCATATTCCCACAGTAAGTAGCCAGGTTTGATTATAGCTTAAACTGCTGGTATTTACAATACCCGGCAGCCGTTGAGTCTGTAGGTCATGAATCCTCAAGGTTTTCAGGTTCGTCACGGATGTGATATGCTGCTCGTCTTCTAAGGTGAGGGGACTGGCTTCCACTATGAGGAAATGAATGTTCTCAGAGGTTCTGAGGACTGAACTGAGGCTTCCAGCCACGCCGGTACATCTCTTAATGCACAATCTGAGGCTTGCAGCAGAGCTGAATATTTTCCCCAGATGTTTTATATCTTGCTCATTCAACTTGCAGAAATCCCGGAGTGTGACCTCCAGGGTCTTGAATTCCTGCTTCCAGTTGAAGAGCAAAGACACAGCCCTGCTGGGAATATAGGTTTCTGAGGACTCTTGAGTGTGGGTCCTGCTTATGTCTCCTGCCGCCTTGTCCAGCGAAGCTGCAGCTCCCCCGCAAAGGTCCAGTTTTACGAAGTCCAGAGCACTTGCACAATTAGGCAGGTCTTCAAAGAAGTCAAATAAGTAATCAGGGATGTTCTGTGAGTTGATATATAAGCTTTTACCATGAAAGAAAGCTTCAAATTCTTCCCTCAGGGTTGATGTGGACATGCTCTCATGGAATAAATTGATGCCACACTCTGTAAAGCAGTTGATGTTTCTGTCTTTCAGTGTTTCTTGCACAGTGGTGCTTTTCACATTTTGCATAGACTCCTGCCTCCAGAGAGGCCTCTTGGTGACAGAAAGCCCGAGGAGGCTGCCGTGTTGACACACTGACGCAAGGTGTTTCAGAACAGTCCTGGTGGCCTCGTCAGATGACCCACACGTGTACAGGAGCAGGCTGCTATACTTGGATGTAATGTCTGAAATGGAAACCATTTTCTGTAAGTGACTGTTCCCCTTGGTCACCTCTGCTGGCTCTCCAGAGGTCAGTAAACTGCTGAGTCTGCACCCTGCTGTGTACTCCTGGAAAGATTTATGAAAGAATTTATACTTTGGCTTGAACCGTTGAGCTGTGTATTTACAGAGGAGTCCCGTTGTCAGTAGGACATCCTCGTTCACGCTGGACAAGTCATCTGGTTCGAAATCAAACCTCTGGGAGAACACGCCCTCCAGAGCTAGGTCTCCACAGTGGTCCAGGCTCCGAGTAACTTCACTGGGAGCCACCCCTTTACGTTTGTGCTTGTTTTTATTTATTTGCAGATCATAGAAGGCACGGAACAGTGTGGTCTGTGTGTGAGAGTGGAACTCACTTTCTCCCATCTGGATTGCACATGTGATGACCACAAAGAGAGGGGTCTTCATCAGATTCCTCAAGCACCTGAATTTCTGAATTTGGAGCAACAAGCCCTCAGCAAGCTCTTTTATCAGCACTTCCCGGATGAGAGCCTGGGCACTGTCCTCCGTCATGTCCCCCACCTCGGCAATCAGTGCACCAAACTGCCGGATGTGCCTCAGGCAGTCCGTGGTGGTGGTGACAATGACCGTGTTCTTAAAGCGGTGGTTTTCCTTTATCAGGGCATCGATTTCTGGGCAGTTCTGGGCCTTAAATTCATTGTAGCCATCAAGGAGGAAAAGAACCCTCTGCCGCAGCTTCAGCAGCGTGGCCATGAAAGTCTGCTTCCTGATAGTGTCAGGTATATCCAGGAGTTGGTCACATAGGGTTTCAAAGAGTCCTCCCTGGGCCCTGCTCAGACGGAGAAAGAAGACCAATTTGAACTTGGTCAGAGCCTGACACTCTCCAGAGGCCCAGAGCATGGCAATTCGCTGCAGCAGAGTGGACTTCCCTTTGCCTGATTCCCCTTCGATGATACAGGGGCTCTGAAGAGTGTCCAGCAGGCCACTCAGGGTCAGCTGCTCCAGACGGTGATGGTGTTGGTCCTTCCTCCACAGAACAGGTTCTGTGAAGGTTCTTTTCAAATTAAAAATAATGTCAATATCTTCACCCAGGGGATAGAAGTTCAGAAAAGATGGAGTATGGTAAAAGTCCTTTAAATCCTGAGCCAAGACATCTAAGTCGTCTTCTGACATCTGATGAAAAAGACCTGTTAGAGAAGAGGTTAGGTTAAAGAAGACCAAATTCTGTGTCTCCCCAGAACCTAGAGTTCAGGAGGATGAAGGGAGAGTGATGCTGAGAACCTTCCCTTGGTGACTTTAATTTCTCTCCTCATTTTTGAGCTCGCAGAAAGGGTTCCAAATATTTACTTCTGCTTTTCCCTGTTACCCTTTGCCGTACTTCCCCTTTTGCCTTGTTTCCTCCTTTCCACCACCAAATCTTATAGCAGCTGATTGGAAATCAGAGGAGCCAGAGTTTGGGTTAAGGAAACTATGTGAGAAAAGTGGGGCTATGGCTGAGAATGATGGTCAGGAGTAACTTGTAGCAGATCAAGCCTTAACCATAAAATCTTGTCATGAAATGACATTAATTAAACATTAATTAAAACCAATCACGAAATAATTGACTAATTTGAAGAAATAAGAACTACATAAACATTTCATGAAAGGCAGAATCATGCTCCTTTAGTCAATCAGACTCTTCACCATGGTACTTGAATCACAGTCAGGGGGCCATTTGTCCACAGATGGGCCTCATCAGACTAAGGACTGTTAGGGGAGGATATAGCTCAGTGGTAGAGTACATGCTTAGCATGTGCAAGGTCCTGGGTTCAATCCCCAGTACTTCCACTAAAAAATAAAATAAAGTAAAAAAGTTAATTAAAAAATACATAAAGAAATATAATAACCTCCCCACCTCCCCCCCAAAAATAAAAAACAGACTAAGGAATGTTGAAAACTACTACTGCATTGACTTTTTTTTATCATTATTTTATTAAACAGTACAATTCATCTTATTACTATTTTCACACACACTGTCCACATTCTCACATTAGGTGATAATAGAAATATAACTAAAGTGGATTTAAATTATTGCTTAGAAAGAGAGACTACTTAAGAACTAAGTCTGAACACCATGTGTCATTTTGGAAGTTTTCAGGCATTTTCATAAAAAGCAGAAAAAGATAAATATGTCACCACTAGCTAGTATTATTTAATTCTGCCTAGAAAGTGTCGAGCCCTGAAATAATAAAACTGCATTGACTTGTTTTTTATTTTTTATATTTTGTTTCATTTGTGAATTTTTTGTTTGGCTGCATTTTAATTTTATTTGAGGGAGCGTAATTATATATATATATTCTTTTAATGGTGGTACTGGGAATTGAACCCAGGACCTTGTGCATGCTGAGCACACACTCTACCACTGAGCTATACCGTCCCCCCTGCATTGACTTCTTAAGTGCCTTCATTGTCCACCCAGTTTGACTTGAAGTCGGATTATAAAAATAATTTATTCCCTGCCCCTGGAGTTACTCATTTGGCCTCCCCATCGAGTAATTTAGTGGGAGTTGTTGTTGTTGTTGTTGTTGTTGTTTTATTCCTGAGAGTGTCTGAGCTTTTCCTTAACAGGACCAAAGCCCACTACCCAGTGTGATGAGGAGGGAGCGGGGAAAAGGCTCTGTCATGGGGGTTTTGGATCTTCTTCATGGTTTATTCTATCTGTACAACAGACACAAGCAAACTGATACTCACTAAGACCACGCAAGTCCTGAAACAGAGGGTAGTTCCACTTTTCAAGGGATTTCAGAAAGAGGTTACAGGCTTCTGAACCCTTCTTCAAAATCATGTGAATGATTCCTCTTGCAGCATCCTGCTCAGTCTTCTCGCAGCAAATGACGTTTACTTCTTCGTGATTCAGGACATTCCATACAAATAGCTCGTCCACAATTTGCTTTATAACAGTCATTCCCATCCTTTGAATGAGAACTTGACTGTTCTCCTTCATGAAATTCACTAAGGGGAATGGGTGGAAATACACATACTCATTTATTTATTTACATAAAATGTGCACATCAGCATCATGTTGCCAGAGAGTTAGGGTCATGCAATTTTTTTCCTTTGGGCTCATCCTGAGTTATGGAGATGCCAAATGGAATTTCAGGGCCTCAAGAAAAGCTCTGTAAAGCCCTTCATCCCTAACCCCAGTGTCCTTGGTCAGCAAAATGTTTTTTTCGTTGGTAATGAAGTAAGGCAAGTAATCTTGTCCCTTGACCTCAAGGGAGGTCACAGTGGTAAGACTGGGCTTACGAGTAGTGAGCCTTGCATACCGTCTGCTAGTTGCTACCATCTGGGTAACCTTGGCAAATTGCTAAACCTCTTTGAACCTATTTCGGTGCCATGCTGCTAAACGTTGAACATACTGGCTCTCTGAGGTTAAAGGCCCAAATTCATAGCATGTACCAATCTTCATGTTATAGTATTTCCACTGTGGCCAATTTCAAGCTAACAATATATGTCAACTGGCTAACAAAAATCACAAAAATTCAACCATCAGTTCTCACCAAAACAGTAAGAATCGTGGGGGTTTCTATACCGGAACTTTACCAGGCATCTGGTTCTTACTTCAGGACCATCTCACCTAAAATTGCCCACACTTTCCTCTTAAATAAGACATCTCGATGGACCAATGACTAATCAGCCCATGCTCACACATAACTGTGGTGTCATGCATTTGGTATTTTTATAATTTTAAGGGAGGTAACTTGCAAGGACTCCACTATAGCTGTCTGAGGCCCCGATGCAGTCAAATCAATTGAAGCTGGACTTGAATGAACATCATTTACCCGCATCAGTAAACCATAAGGTGTTATTCAGTCAATGGTTACAGGACATAGTTCGAATTTACACCCACATACATCCACGTACACGTATGTACATCTAAGTACACCCACGTACACCCACATACACGTACGTACACGTTAAGCAAGTAATTAGCTTGCTTAAACAAACCCCCCTTAACTCCCACAAGTTCTACCCTCTACGCACCAGATAGTCCTGCCAAACCCCAAAAACAAGACATAGCATATAAGCTAATAGAACCCAGACAAACCCTATACATGGAACTTAATTACCTAAGTGGCAACACAGCCGTATCCTACCAATGTGCTACTTAGATATATTCAAAATATATAGACAGCTATCTCCCTAGATCTGCCAAAATTTTTAAAACAAAATTCAACAACTATTTTTAACGGGCCCCTATGTCATTTTAATGTCATCCCGAATCTGATATATAGCCTGTTATTGTAGCTGAAACTTAAAGCGAGGTGCTGAGAATGCCTCTTGTCTCCTTATCTGTACAATGGAGTTGAGAACAGTATTTTACTTATGAAGTTGTAATGAGAATTCATGAATAGTATTTCATACAAAAGTAATGGCTCAATACATGTTAGCTACTATTTATAGCCATTATCCTTCTGTCACCTCTCAAAGGAGTAGTACATTTTATCCCCCTTAGAATTTAATCTTTTCTGAAGAGTATCACTGCGAAACAGTTGTCTGTATTCAGTGTAAGCTCTCTTACCTCTCACAGTGAGGTTCCCTAGAGAAGCTGCCTCTGTGTCTGACTGTCCAAGATTTAACTCTCCCAGGCAGTCCCTGACAGTGCGGAGACATGGCTCCCTGGTGTTGTACACTCAGACACTGTCTGCACCAGTTTCTTCCAAGGCTAGGCTGCTCCTGGTTTTCAAATCTTTCTTGATTCAGCTAAGTGGATGTCTACTCACAAATGCCCCGAGGCTTCCCTCATCTGAAATGCATGCACATCAGGCATTCAGACCCCCAGGGCCCCAGCCCAGGTCCCCTTCCTCTCTGTTGCAGATCCCTGCTACTCACCTCAGCTGCAATGTTACCATATCCCCATCTGCATGGCCCGTCAGGCATTCTCATCTCTCTCTCTCTGCGATCTCATCTGTTCTCTTGGCTTCTACATCCTCTCTATGGAGACAACTTCTAAGTCTGGTTCTAGTCACTATCTTCATTTCACAGCTGAAGAAATGTCGCCTCAGAAAGACCTAGAGACCACCACCACAAGATCACAAGACTAGCCCTTCAAAGGCAACAGTTCTTCAGCTGTAAAATTAAGATACCAACACTTTAACTATTTAAAAGACTCATGAACAAGACTGAATAAAGTCACATAAGTCACAGACATAAAATATTTTAAAATTTGAAAAGTGCACTGCTGTGTAACTCTAGGATGTTCATATTACTAACCATGTATATCTCCCTGTGTGTGGGCTACCATACTCCTCTCTTATCAAGTAATTAGATGAAAACCATGCTGCTCATTCATTCATTCATTCATTCAGTATTCATTCTTATCAGAATCTCTCTGTTTAGACTAGTGCTGTGCAGGAGAATTTTCTAAGATGATGAACATGTTCTATATGTGCTCTGCCCAGTAGTGTAGCCATTAGACACATGTGGCTACTGAACACTTGAAACGTCGCTAGTGTGAATGTGCAACTGAATTTTAAATTTTATTTTATTTTTGTTTATTTAAATTCACATTTAAATAGATACATATGGCTACTGATACTAATTACATTGGATAGCACAGTCTACACCAAGTCTACAACAAGAGTTACATTTTGGCTGCCACTTAGATCTACATCATGTTTCTTCACAATGATCTTGACAGGTATAGCTCTCTGCTATCTGACTGGGAAGATAAGACTGAATAGGTGATGGCAGGGGGCCAATATTTTAAAACACACACCTGGTTACTCTTTGTGAAAGTCGTAGCCTATCTGTAGTTCTGCCATTTATCACAGGCTGCCATTTTCATAACTGAATTCTCAAAACCACGGAAGAATATTTGATGGGAATTCCACATATAACTGATCAGAGGAAGGCATGAACTGATTTTCCGTTCAACATCATCCAGTTTTGGTAATACACTACATAATCAGGTAGATTTTATTTCCAGTATACTTACTTGTTCTGAATAAAAGCTTTCCAATTTTCTATATCTCAATAGACAATATTATTTCCAAATAGACAGGTCAAAGATGACTCCAATATTGTCCTCTTTCTCTAAAATGTTTCCTTTTTCTGTAAAACCAACAAAACAGAACCAGAAACTATCAGGCAGCAACCATTGTCACTTTCGTATTTATTCTTTTCTTCCACACTAAAAAAAATAGCTATACATAACGTTTGACATCTGTTTTTTTTTCATATACTATATTTTTGAGACCTTTCTATATCAGTTAAGTATTAAACTGCCTCATTTAAAAAATCAGTTTCATTGAGGTATAATTTACATGGAATAACATGCAAAGAGCTTTGACAAATATATACACCCAAGTTGGTAATACCCTTGTTAGGATTTAGATATTCCCATCACTGTGGAAATTTCCCTTATGCCTCTTTATAGTTCGTTCCTCCTATTCCCCATCAAAGCAACCACTGATCTGAATTCTTTAAATATAAATTGGTTTAGCCTGTTCTAGAAGTTCATGTAAGTGGACAAATATAGTATGTACTCTTGTCTGGTTCCTTTCACTTACTATCATGCTTTTGAGATTTGCTTTGTTTGCAGGTGTTGGTAATTCAGTCCTTTTTATGGCTGAGCATTATTTCATTGTAGGAACAGATCGATCTGCTTACCAGTTCTCCTGTTGATGGACGTTTGATTTGTTTCCAGTTTTTTGGCTATCATGAATAAAGCTTCTATGAACATTCATGTAAGTATCTTTGTGGACATATGTTTTCATTTCTACTAGGTAAATACATAGAAATGGAATTTCTGGGTCATATGGTGAATGTATGTTAATTTTATAGATAGTGCCAAACTGTTTTTCAAAGTGGTTATATCATTTACATGCCTACCAGCAGATAAAATCGAAAGTTCCAGCATTTGGCATTATCTGTCTTTTTAACTTTAGTCATTCTAATGAGTGGTTAGTGGTATCTCATTTTATAGTTTTAATTTTCATTTTCTTGATTTCTAATGATGTTGAGCATCTTTTCACGTATTTTATTGTTCATTTATAAATCTTTTGTGAAGTGTCTGGACAAATCTTTTGTCTATTCTACAAATTGGGTTGTCTTTTCATTATTGACTTTTAAGAGTTTTTCATAGATTCAAGATGCAAGTTTTTTTGTCAGATATATGTATTGTGACTAGTTTCTCATCATCTGTGGTGGTTTTGATTGTTCCTGGGATTTAATTTATCGAAAGAACTGAGTGACAAAATGGAAAGGTCAATACCAGTGAAAGTTTTATTACTTACAGTTCCCGAGGAGGGCCTGCTGTGTCACACAGGGCCACCTGGGGCCTCATAGGAAAGAACCAGAGTTGATCAGGAGGCAGAAAAGGAGAAAGCTTAGCCCGGAGCCTCTAAATGGTTATCATAGGAAGGAATGGATGAGGCAGAGTAGGCATGTTTGAACTACTTTAAGATTGGATAGTTTGAGTAATTTCAGCAGACTCTGAGCTATAAGGGTGGCCCAGGAGAGATTTAGGGCAGGGGAAATATTGGCTTGGTGTGCGAGAGTTCAATAAAGTTGGTGATTGGGGATAGGGTCTTTGAATCGGTTGGTTTAGATATATAAAAGTCACATTCATAGGTAGTTTTTTTTTTTTTTCCCTAGGAATTAGCTAGCCCTGGTAGGGGCAGTCTCTTCTGGCCAGCAAAGCCCCAAGATATCAAAACATCATAAAATATAGAAAATGAAAACATGATTAATACAATGGTTTGCTTTTTATTCTTTTGCATCTTTTGAAGAGCAAAACATTTTCATTTTTATGAAGTCCAACTTACTAATTTTTTTCCTCTCTGATTTATGCTATTTGTGTCCTGTCTACAAAATCATTGTTATCCTGAGTCACAAAAATTTTCAACTAAGTTTTCTTCTAGAGGTTTTATAGTTTTAGCTTTTACATTTAGGCCATTGATCCATTTTGAGCTAATTTTTGTTTATGATGTTAGATAAGGAGTTGAGGTTCATCTTTTCCTCACAGGCATACCAGTTTTTCAATCATGATTGGTTAGGAAGAATATCTTTTACTCATTGAATTTATGAATCTACTTCTGGACTCTATTCTCTTCCACTGATTTATGTCTATCCTTATGCCAATATCACACTGTCTTGTTTATTCTATCCTTATAGTAAGTCTTGAAATCTGGTAGTTTAAATTCTTTAATTTTCCTCTTTTTCAGAATTGTTTGCATTTCCATATAAATTTTAAAATAAGTTTATTAATTTCTATTTTAAAAATTTTTTTTGGCTTCTGATTTCTGGTCTGGCAGGCAGGGAAGTTGTAACTCCATCCTAACATCAAGTAAAAAGCTGAATAAACTGAAAATGAACAACTCATATCTATCAGAGAATTGAAGTCACAGGGCAAACTGCTGCCCCCAAATGGAAGAGACAGGCAGCTACAAAATCACTACTTATTGGAGCAGAAAGCCCACAAGGAGCAGACACTCCTGTGAGGGACCAGTATCCAGGTAGGAAACCGTAAATTAATTGACGAATTCCTAGAGGGTCAGTGTGGACAAGTCTGACAGATGAAATCACCAGGAGGGGCCAGTCTTAGGAAGACCCCCATGCTTGTGTGAGTTTTACCTCCAGGAGCCCTAGCAAATTCTCATAGTGAAGAGCAGAGAAAAATACTCTTGCTTCCAGCAAGGGGAGGGAGAAAGTAATCATTTCGAAATATGCCCAGAACATTCTATATTTCCTCACAATGCCTGACCTCAGCATCAATTACTTTATCAGAGTCTCACCTACTGGGATATTAACAGAGCCCAACTGACCCAGGAGAGGGAAATGCCCCACTGTATCCTCTGCTAGCTTTACACCTGAGGGAGTGTTTATTTAATTTACTAAAGAGACATTTAAAAGTCATTAGAATCAATTCCCAAGTGAAAAGGCAAGGGCATAGATTGTAGTAAAATCAATCAAGTTCTGGATATAATGTGAAATAGAATATTTATGAATTTCTGTTAAACTTATCCTTATGTTTAAGACTTAATAACTATTTTTTATTTGATACCTCATGTGAAAGAAACTTTTTGAAATTAAAATTTTTAAAAAGTCTTCTTCAACTGTGATCAAAGATATATTGACAATTCTGGCAAGACTGTCTATTGAACACAAATATGCAAAATGATCAGTTTGCTAAAGTCATTGACAAAGTTGCAGAAGGTAAGGATTGAGAAAGTGTATTATTAATTATTACTATGCTGGACTAATATGTAAGAATAAGTTTTTCCCTTTTTATACTGTGATATTTACTCTATTTATTTATTTATTTTACTGCATGATTATACAGACATGAAGTTCAATAAAATAAAATTGTTACTATAAAACAACACCAGATTCAAAAATGGACAAAGAATTTAAATAGACATGTCTCCAAAGAAGATACACAAATGGCCAACAAGCACATGAAAAGATGCTTAATATCACTAATCACTAGGGAAATGCAGATCAAAACCACAATGAGATATCACCTCGAACCCATTAGAATGACTGCTATTAAAAACAAAAACAGAGAATAACAAATGTTGGCAAGGATGTGGAGAGACTGGAACTCTGCACTTTGGTAGGAATGTAAAATGGTGCAGCTGTTATAGAATATAGTTCTTCAGAAAATTTAAAATAGAATTACTGTATGATCCCACAGTTTCACTTTCGGGAAATACCCAAAAAATTTAAAGCAAGGTCTTGAAGAGATATTTGTACATCTGTATTCATAGTAGCATTATTCATGACAGTCAAAAGGTAGCAGCAATCCAAGTGATAATCAGTGGATGAATGGATAAACAAGATGTGATATATATATATACATATATATATATATGACGGAATATTATTCAGTTTTAAGGAAGGAAGTCCTGTCATAAGCTACCATATGGACGAAACTTGAAGACATTGTGCTAAGTGAAATACGCTAGTCAGAAAAAGATGAATACTGTATGTTTTAACTTATATTAAATATCTAGAATAGCCAAATTCATAGAAACAGAAAATAGAATGGTGGTCACCCAGGGGCTATGAGGAAGAGAAAATGAGGAACTGCTGCTTAATGGATACAGACTTTCAATTTTGCAAGATGCAGAAGTTCTGGAGATTGTACAACAATGTGAATACACCTACTGCTACTGAGCTATACACTTGAAAATGGTTAAGATGGTAAATTTCATGCTACATGCATTTTACCACAATTAAAATTTAAGAAGAAAAGAAAATTGTCACTGTCTGAGTTTCTTTCCTAGCCATTACTATTGTTAACTTTGTTATATGATTATTATTGAAAATACAATTATATAAAGGAAGGAGGTGTTCGAAATGATTTATTTAAATGTCAAATACGCTCGGTATACCGAGCCAAGATACAAACAGTCATGCTTTTAGGGCCAAGCTTTGTATCACTGGACAAATAAATGAGATTTAAATGAAACTTCTTCTTAAATGGCTAATGGATGGGGTACCAAAGAACTGGGCCCCAGCGTGTCTGTGTGATGAGCCAGAGGCTCTGAGGCTTTCAGAGATGAGACAAGCAAGAAAAGCTGTCAGAGGAAGAAAGAGCATTTTCTAGGGCAGTTTTTTAAACTGGTGAACTCATTAGCAGGTCATGATATCAATTTAAGTGTGTTACAATTAGTATATTCTAAAAAAGCAAAATAGAATTAAAACTCTCGGAATGCACTGTCTTTTTTCATGTTTCAGTTATTTCTGCATCCTGGCACTGGGTAGTGATGTCAGATGAATTTCTTATTATGCAAGCAGATGAAGCAGCAGAGGGAAGGAGCCATGGGGTAAAGAGTCTGAAAATGAAGACTGGGACAACTCAGTGAGTGCCAAGATTGAGTTCAAATTCCAGCTCTACCACTGACGGGCTGAGAGTCCTCAATCAAGGGATGGTGACTGGTACATGGAAAGAATAGCAGCTACTTGAGTTTCTTTCCTCCCTTTCCACCCACTCCCCTAAAAATGGGAGGAATCAGACCTTCCTTGACTGGGTCAGAGCTTAAGTGAGAACAGAAAAAAGAGGAAGAAGATAGAGGAAGGAGCTGAGAAGTTGTTTATATTCACATGCAAACTGAATAAACCAATCCCAGAGTTAGCCCTCCAGTCACTTTGTCTGCTATAATAATAAATTAAAATTGCTACATGGATCATCAAGCAGGAATCTCAGCTGATTCTGAAGATGCTCAAAATTCATATTCCGTTTGGATACTGAATAGTCTTCCTACCCACAGAGAAGACGTCTGTGACTAGATCAGGGAACAAAGTCAGAGATCGGTGACTAGTTCCTAGTTGCTCTCAAGAATAAAATCATCCTGTAATCTGAAACTCAGGTAGTCTACTGTCAGTTACCCACTGGCATAAAGGACAAGGCTGTGGCCAGTTTTCTCCCCTAGACGGTGGCTATGGCTCTGAACACCTTCCCCACCCCCACTCTTAAGCAAGATGTCCAGTGAATAATTGAGTCACGTGGAAGAAGTCCTTTTCCTATATTTGTGCTTTGGAAAATAATTTTTAGAACTAATTCTAAAAAATGAATATTTCTTCAAAATAGTTACATGCGTTCCTTAGAGAACTAGAGTTCTTCAGGACCATAAAACCCACATCTATGGAGTCATGCCTACAACAAATGAGAGAAATTTATATATATATAATGGGAGCAGAGAGGCAGCACACAAAAGTGGAAAATGTGTGTGAGCTTCGTCATTGCAGTCCTGAATTCAAAGCCTCATTCTGCTGCTAATTAGATGGTACCCTTCCTGAGTCTTGCTTTCTTCATCTGAAACACTGACATGAATAATACCTACTGCCTAAGACTGTTGTGAAGATTCACCGAGAAAGCAGTTGAGACAGACATGGCCAGTGGGCATTATCTGTCTCCCTTTCTAGTAAAAGGGCTCTAAACTAGAAGGTCTAAGATCTCCAACAGACTCCAGCAATCTCACTTATTATTGTTACTATTATGGGCTGAATTGTGTTCCACCCAAATCCACATGTTGAAGCCCTAACCCCCCAGTACCTCAAAATGTGACTGTACTTGGGGGGGCCTTTAAAGATGCAATTAAATTAAAATGAGGCCTTTAGGGTGGGCCCAAAAGCAATCTGCCTGGTGTCCTTTCAAGAGGAGTAGATTAGACGCACAGAGACCCCAGAGATGCATGCCCCAAAGAGAGATCGTCCTGGGAGGACACAGGGAGAAGGCAGCCATCTGCAAGCCAAGGACAGCTGCAGAGGAGAAGCTACACCTGCCGCAACTTTGACCTTGGACTTCTGGCCTCCAGAACTGTGAGAAAATAACTTTCTGTTTTTTAAGCCACCCGGGCTGTGGTATTTTGTTATGGTAGCCTGAGCAGATGAACACAATTAGTATTCTAGAAGTGCGCTGAGCTGTTAAAAGAACAGTGACAGGAGACAGGGTTCTGTCCTACTTGTGTAGACAGCTGCGTGACCTGCAGCAAGTCACTTGACTTCTTTCCACATTTGCCACCTCTCTACTCCAGAGTCATAAGGATTAACCGAAAGTCTGTGAAGACCCTAACAATAGGGTGAATGGCGGTTCCCTTCACTTCTCTGTCCAGATATCAGCCTTCTAGTAATTCAGGGGAGTGGATGGACTAAGCAGTGCCCCTAGGTCTTTTCAGGTCTGACCTTCTGCAGCTCTAACAATAGCCTCACAAACAAGAGTAGGATTCATTTCTATAAGGCCAAAAAGTATTTTCAAAGTCTTTTCCCTCTCTTTGTCTCACAGCAAGCACAAGTGCATCCCTTTGACTTAATGACTTAATGTGCATTCAAACATCAGTTCTGAAGAACCCGATGAAATCCCAGCAGACCAGACTAACCACACCTAAAATTCTCCGTGAAAGCAAAGCCAGTCAGCCATGCAAAACCGCATTCTTCAGTGTTAAGGCTTTCATACCCCCGACACAAACTTTAAATGAATGTAAATCCAAATTTTAATATTTGGTTCCAAAACCCACTAAAAATCCCATTCTTTCTCCCCACAGTACCTGGCTGAGCAATCAAGTTGCCCTCTTCTTGGTGGATCAAACGACGTTTTTAAAATAAAGTTTCTTTTTATTGGCTTTCTGTTTCACAGCAAAGGCTGGTGTTCCTATAGATCTGAAGCCTTCCTGTTCTGTGGCATGAGACTGTAAGAGAAGGGCAAACACTGACAAGTTCTTTTTTCTTTTTCTTCAAAGCATAGTAAGAATGGTTTGGACACAAGCAAGATGAGTGTAAGTACAAGTAGCCAGAGAAAGAAGTAAAACTTGAACTTGAAGATGCAGGAGCTGGAACTTCATATCAGGAAAGGAATTACTCATTTGTTTCCTGTTTATTCACAATATATGAATCCTCTTGCTGTTAGTTTATTTATTCTATAGCTTAAAATGAAAACAAAG